GATGGGCAAGAAACGTTTTGGCTTTGACAAAAGCAGCGTCTTTAACTTCTGAATGAAGCGGATCTTGTTGGACCTGGCAATGTGACTGTCCAACGAGCTATCGCGTACTGGTTTGCAAGGACCAGAAGGTGAGGATATAGATGAAGAACTTCTGATACATACCTTTGTAACTTCAGCTCTGGGCATCGCAACATTCGAAAGGAGGAGGCCGCGTTTGCATGGACGACCCGGCATGAAAGTTGTATGGCGAGGAATCAAAGGGCTGGATATGGTTTTGGGTGCTTCCGGCGGTATGAGCAGCATTATTCACTAGCAGTTGTGGTAAATGGTCGAATATTAGGTCGGCTTCACTGATTTTGTCTATGAGGCAAATTATCATACACCTGGCATGCGTCGCGCATATTCAAGATCCTTTCTTCTATTGTGAACCATAAAGCGCCACTTCTGGTTTCCCTTCTTCTACCCAGAGAGGAAACTTACGCGGATTTGCTCCAGAAAGCAGGATGGATCATTGAAGATGCAAGAGGAGCCGCTACGGATCATTCTAAGCTCTAAGCTCTTTAGAAGCCCTTGAGGACATCAGTTTTAAATCTGTTTGTGAAATGTACTCCCCGTCCCAGTTTTAAATGTACTCGTCTACTCTTCTTTTTGGGTTGTCCAAAATGAATGTATTGTTTCTTTTTTTGACAAAAAATATGCGGTTCTTATCATTTCACTTTATTCTACTCAAATCGCAACCACAATTTTTATTTTTCAACCACTTTATTAATAATTGTGTCAAATTGAAAATAGACAACCAATATATTAATACGCAATTTCAACCTAAAATCAGCGGTGCATTTTTTCCTGTTCTATGGATTACGGGGTATTATGAAGTGTAGTTTTGGGTTTTAAGTTCTCTCTTTTAAACGGATAAATTCATGAGTGAATTTTTTTTATTTTTTTTATAGGAAGGGTACCTTAGAAAAGTTATTTTAAAGTTATCTCACATGATTTCAGTTCGTTATTGAAATACATTGTTGTCAAATGTCAAAAGATGAGTTTAAAAATCATTTCTTTAAAAATATTTTAATAACTAGTACAAAATATTTTTTAATAACTATTGACACAAAAAAAATTATTCATAAAATAAAGACTTTCACCAAATTTAGAGAGGGTGAATAAAATTCAAATCAATAAAATTTAATGGTTTCTTGCGATATTTTATAAGATTTCATAACAGTTCGTCTTAACGATAATCCCAATACACATTGGTAAACAATCTAGAATCTCTAGTTAGTCAATCAATGACTTGTATTTGACTTTCGTTTTCATTCTTTTTCCTTCTCGTAGCTTCGTATAAAAAAGCTCATAAACCTATTTTCTTTTTATCTTACGTCAATATTTGTTAGAGTAGATAAAAGTTAGTTGATCAATGGTCATTAGATTGGTTTTGGGGTGTTTTACTGTTAGTTAGCCACTACTTAAGAAGCTTCCAGATATATTGTAAACTAAGTGTATAGCCTAATTAATCTATTCGTATATTAGTATTTGAGTTCCATTGTAAAATTAGGAGATCACCTTTAATTAAGAAGAGACTCCCCCTTCACTTTCTTTCATTAAGGGGAACAAAAGAAAAGAATAAAGAGGGACTAAAGGTTTGGGCTCAAGGAACTATATGATTCTTTTATCAATACTTCATAGTTCATACTTCTATCTACTAATACTTCTAGGAGTGATGTTAGTCATTAACCTAAAAGATTATGGATGTAAGGCTAAAAATGGTTTATGAGAAGTTATGTTCTCATATTAGTGTATGTTGTAAGGGATGTTAATCTGCATATCCAACACATAAAAAATGTTTTTTATAAAGGATAAAAATGTTTTGGTCTTACCAATTCAAGAGCAATTTTCTCCATCTTTTTAGGGTTTAATTATTTTTTTTCATGTTCGATTACATGAATGGTACTAGAATAACACTTTTAAATCAAACATAGTGTTTGTTTTGACCATGTTTGACGATGTTTGTCAAACATTTTAAGAGGTTGGATCACTCTGATGATCATTTTCTAAGCATTTTCAACGTATGATTAGCATTTTGCTTCATCGCCCTAATTATCGAGGGACGGGGATCCTTACATAGTTACATACCATGTGCATAATTTCAACATAAAGGGATTTCATTCATTTGAAGTTTTAAGTAACTGAACTTGCCACAAATTCATAAAGCTCCCCTACGTAAATGTAGCCAAAACAGTAATACGGAGTATTAAGTACTCTTAATATAAACAATGGGCGTAAAAATTAGGGTTGTGACCGGTTCGGTTCTTACTCAAAATGAGTGGAACCGTTATAAAAATTTTAACTAATGAAATCGGTTCGGATCCTATATAAAAAATTAAGAACCGTTATGGAACCGAACCGGTAGTAAACGGTTCGGTTCTTCCTTTTACCGGTTCCTAGAATAATTTTAGATCTAAAAATTAACACATAATTTTAAACACATCGAAAATTCAAAACACGAGTATTAAAATTTTATTTGAAGCTCTAATCACTTCAAACATCAAAGCTCAAACTTAACTAATGAATTTTGAACACTTAATAGAACAAAAGTGATTTAAATTTTCATGTAATAAATAAAACATTAAAAATCGTTGTAGTGTCGGAGCGATTAACGTTACTCGTCATCATAGTAGCAAGAATAAGACGTCTACTTCAAGTCTTTCAAAATATAAAAAAAAAGACATTGAGTTTGCATGCATAGATATAAAAAAACATTATTACATTCTATTGATTCATAATAAATTTAATAATTAGAAATATCATGAAAATAGTAAAACAAAATATGTGCAATCAACTACAAGTTATTTGGGTTATTTTATATTTATAAAATTTATGTGATGGAAAAAAACATGATTTGTAGAAAGGAGTTTAATGTATTATATCAACCTCATGTACAATATTTATTACTTCTTTTCCGTTGATTAAATTAGAATTGTTAGTTAAATATCTTATATTGTTTTATTGTTGTTATTGTGGTGGTGGTTATTATTGCTATTATATTATTATTATTATTGTTACTACTACTACTACTAATATTATTTTTTTATTATTTTTTTAATAACGGTTCCTTAACAGTTCCATGCACATATTTTTATAGGAACCGGGAACCGAACCGTTATAATCCGTTTCGGTTCGGTTCCTACAAATGAGGCATTAATTGTTAACGGTTCGGTTCCTAGATGTTGTTAACGGTTCGGTTCCAATCGGTTCTACGGTTCTCGGTTCCAAAATCTCACCCCTAGTAAAAATGCATAAAAGCATACCTCTTTAAGTAATGTAAACGGTTCAATTTTCGTTCACCATGTACTTTAATCTCTTTAGTAATGTACTTTTTATGATGGTAATGGTTTTGCCTATTTTTAACCATATTTGTACAAAATTCGATGTATTTCATACTACAAATATTTTTACTTAAACTGAAATTTGTTGGTTTGATCTTATCGGTTTAAGTCTGGTCTGATATGGTCTGAAATGTTTGAACCCCTTTTGGGCATAATAAGGTCATTAATGGGCTAAATACAAGACATGGTAGATTAAGTGTAAAAATGTATTCTGTCAGGGTATTTCCTAGCCGATGTCGTGTTAGGCCGATGTGAGACCCAAATCACACTGGGCTTTTGGACCGTGATTTGAGCGTTCCTAATTTTGGCCGATGGGGTCCCATATACTCTATCAGTCCTTTTACGACGATTTCGACCATCGGAAACAATGTCGAAAGAATTATATATGAGCGAAAACACAAATAGTCATGTATCAAAAGTGGATAACGTGAAAGATGTTGATTAAATGTGGAATTGACCTAAAACTCGTAGAACCAAAACTGGAATTTATTTTTTTATAACTATGGAAGTCTGGTCTAATTTAAATTGGTTTGATCTGAGACTGAAAATAGTCCAAGTAAAAACATCCAACATATCTTTAAATCCCTAAAGCTCAAAATTCATATGCCAATCATTTCTGAATTACTCATAAACTATAGTCTCATCTGAACAAAATAAATGTATCCATGATTAAACAAGAAGAGCCTTAATTCTTAATTTACTCATAAACTATATTCTCATTTGAATAAAAATGTATACATTGGACTACATAAGAAAAGCCTCAATGTAAGTAACATGAATGAATCTGTGCATTAGAAATGAGTGGCTGTTCTCTTAACCTAGACTCTTATGCAGTCTTAATTTACAAAATATTAGGGGATAGATGCACTTCAACATGCGAGATTACAAAAAAATAAAAGCATCCTTATTCCCTAATTGTGAATTTGTGATCCCTAACGGTAGGCCTGGACTCGGGCCGGTTCGGGGCCGGTTCGGGCCTGGGCCCGGCCGGGCCTAGGGCCAGGAAATGGGAGGCCCGGGCCCGAACCGCCGGTGGCCGGTTCCGGTCCCGGTTCCGGGCCAAACCGGGCCGGGCCGGGCCAGACCGAACCGGCCCACTTATTTTTTTTTTTTTGTTCTCCTATTTAATCCCCTACCCCTCCCCCTCAACCCCAAACCACCCCAAACCACCTCAAATGGCCCAAAATACCTATTCCAACCCAAAACTTTAAAAAAATTTCAAAAAAAAAAAAAAATTAAAATCCGGCCCGGACCGGGCCCGAACCGGCCGGGCCGGTTCACCATTTGGAAGGCCCGGGCCCGGAACCGGGAACCACCGGGCCGGTTCGACCCGAACCGCCGGTGGACCGGGCCTCCGGGCCGGCCGGTTGCTACAGTGGCCGGGCCGGGCCGGTTCCGGGTCGGGCCGCCCGGCCCGAGTCCAGGCCTACCTAACGCTAAAAGCATTCCTTGTTATTAAAGTGTCAGCATTACTAAAAAAAATCACTTTAGTGAAGTTAAAAAGACCAAATTCTTTAGTACCTTGCAGAGTCGTAGCCTTGCAGGTAAGTGACTTATCCATATGAAGTTATGAACCAATCAAAAATTTTCAATTAACTAATTTACACAAATAAATAATGAGATTATGACCAATCATATACGTAGTATATCGTGTACAAAGAACATCAAACTCGTGTATAAAGAATATCAAACTTGCATTCGGTACAGCCAACATAAACACATCCCCTTATCCTTCAAGTAAATGAGTCCAAAAACCTCAAACCAAAAATACCTCGACTGACTGAAGAAGATTAAGAAAATTTATTAATACACTTCAAAATACTGCAAAATTTATTATATCATCTCTTCATAGACCAAGCAGGGCAACATTAATTAGTCTTCTAAGAGTATATGCTGCAGATACATAGGTAAAGTTGTCTGATACACGGCTGGCTAATCTCCACAGGAAAAAGGGAGAAAAACCCAGGGGAATAGAAACAATGCTTTAATGCATTCATATCTACCCTCCTGATGGGGGGATCAAAGCCACCGAAATTCCCCTAACCTCTCCTACATGGAGGGGAGGAGGCATTGGTTAGAAAAAATCCAATGCCCCAAACTACATATTAATTAATCCTTCTATAGAAGAATAGCTGCTAGATATATATATATATATATATTTACACAAGTGTCCACACCATCTTCTAATCATCACCTGCCGGAGGAGGAAATAAAAGACCTATCCTCGGTGCCTTTGGAGAGTTGATTGATCAGTGGAGAAGAAGGAAATTGGAATTCAGAGACCACAGCTACTGACGGGGCAGAAAGTGGTTGAGCTTGTTCTTCCGATTTCGGAGTGTAATTGAAGGAGAGATCCCGGTTAGCTGCTAGTGCCAAAAGCTCTTTCTCCTCCAGCCCCTTTGCAGGTCCCACATTGCCAGATCCACTATGTGTCCCATGTTTGGCAATTGCATCTTTGAATTTCTTGATCTGTTACATCAAGATAAGAGAAAATTGTTCTTGCATTAATATAAACTGATACATGAAAAGTGCATATATGGTAGTGTAACAGATATATACATCTTCTCTATTTAGCCTGTTATGCGCAACTTACTCTCTTCATGCCTATTTAATCTTTATTGACCAAAATTGTTTTTCCATTTTACCTGTCTTTTAATATTAATCATCCACAAAGTATTATTTTTCAAAATTTAACCCTTTTTTCCTTTTATGCAAGATAAGTTGAAAATGGAATAACTCCGGCATTTGCATTTTCTGAAATTGTGAGGTTTGGAGGACAGATGAATAGGCACGGATAAGGTATGATATACTTAAATGGTATAGGATGCCAAAGATGGCGTATTACTTCACAGGTATCAAGATAAGAGATCTAGGGGGAGCAGAGCACATGAGAACTCACTGTGGCATTAGTGCAGCTGAAGCTACAAACACGGCCTTCAGATCCTCTATAGAAGCGAAAGAAGGGTAGAACGTGTACATTAAGGCTATAACACATTGACTTATGCTCCTCATAATTCACCTGCAGAAACTGTATGTCTGGGTTCATTTCTGCAAACTGGCATATCTGCATTCCCATATATAAAAATATATCAGCTGATACTGTTATCGACCTAACGCCTTTAGTTTGGCTTCCCCCGAGTTTATTTTTATATATGAACCAATTGCACTTATGTCCAAAAATGTATGTAGTTAATCTATCTTAGTGTCTTTTCAGCCAGAGTATGAAACCTTGTACACTTTTGTTATAAATAGAGTAGATCGATAATATAATCTTCACACAATATAATCCTCAGGACTTCCAAATAAGGGTTTATTCACCGCACTTATCTAGTTTTACATGCATCAACAGGTTTAGATCCAACAGAGAGCCAACCAGGCCAGTCATAACATTCAGGAAAAAACTCAAAAACTATGACAATCTACCATCTATACTTCATTTTTTACCAAAGGAAAACAACAGACACATACAAATATTCAGACACAAAGGCAGTGTCTTAAATCGCAGATCATCAACTGACTTGGATAAAAAAGCAAGGTAGTATTGTACCTTGGGATGGAGGGCTTTACATCCACCACAACCAGGGGAAAAGAAATCAACCACCACCAGTTTATCAGCGGCAACCTTAAGAGAGTCTACTAGGTCTTGCGCACCAGCCACCTCTTTCATGTTTGGTTGAAGCCCTTTCTCCCACCATCTTTGAGCTTTCCCGATTCCAGTGCTCATCTGTAAAAACCTATGCCGTGAATCTAAACAACAACAATCCAATCTGCTAAATCAACTTCCCTAAAGCATAAAAACTTTCCGTATAGATCTAACTTGGAACAAACCATTGACAGTTCAAATAATAAATGTCAAATGAAATCTCAAGAGTCCAGACACAGTCACACAGATTTGAGTGTTGGAGATAGTAAATAACCAAGTGAAATAATAAAATCTTAACAAAATTCTTTTGAAGGAATAACAAACCTGTTTTCGTCCATTTCCTTGGGAAACCTTCGTTGCGATGTCTACAGCACGGCCGTCAAAATCTGTGTTCGGTGAATTCAGAGCTCCGCATCGGAGCTTCAAAGACTGGACATCGGATCCAGCACGCGAAAGCGCAGCAGGTCCAACCGGAAAACTACAAACTACACGCTGACTATACCGACGAGCCGCCGATCTAAAACACGTACTCGACGGCGAGAACGCAACGCCGGCCACCTTGCTCACCACTTCCGCCATGGATGAACCGTTAGATCGGTGTTCTCTAAGCTTGGGTAGAGCGAAATGAATCGAATTCGAAGCCGAAACTTTAGGGTTTAAAAAGAGAAAATGGATATGGCGTGATTCTTTGCTTTTGCCCTTTCCTTATTTTTCTTCTTATTGCCTTACCTATTTGCCTTGTTTTGATGACGAGCGTAAAGTTTGACTTGTCGTTTCAATAGTATCCACATCGGACGGCTGAGCGGGCTTGAATATTCGGTCATTCACCGATCATCAGGACACGTGTCGAGAAAAGCGGGGCAAGAAGAACGGATAATTCGGGAATTCCGAAAATCACGCTAGGATGTGTTTTTTTAGATAAATAAATGGATAAAGTGGATTGGGATATGTTGGACCCGGTCGTTTGTGTGAATAGTCCCACCACCACATGGAAATTTAAATGGGCCCGTTCGTATCTTAGAAAATCTATGAGTCTTGTTTTTTGTTGACGTGGTCCAACATGTCTCTAAACATACATTTTTTTTAAAGAGAACCCTTTTTAAATGTTTTTTGATTTTGTCTAATTTGTTTAAATTTGATGAGATAAATAGGAGGTTTACCTTAACAAAACTAGAACATGGCTTTTTTCTCTCAAAATAGGAGCATTCAATTTAAACATCCATAAATATGAGTTTTTATTTGTGATTAGGCCAAAATACCCTTCACAGCCTTTACCACTGTTGCTCCAAGACTGTCGGACCGCCGTCTGGCGTCGGAGCACCACCTGCCAAATTTCTGCCACCGCTGCCACCGAAATGCAGCCATCACCGGATTGCCCCCGCTACCAACGGACTGCCTTGGTTGTGCAAGAGAATTAGGGGGCAATTAATTGAGTTAATTAATTAATTAGTTCAATTGGGGGTAAAAATGGAATAGTTAGTCCTATTTAGGGAAAACCTAACTCCTATTTTGAGAAGAAACCTATGTTTTTGTCTTAGCCATGACAATTTTCTAGAGATAAATATCAGATGTGCATTTTAATGTTCCGTATGGTTTAAATTTAGCGTGGATAATTTTACCATGTAGTAAATTTTTGAAATGTCATTTGATTTCTTGAAATGTAATCTTACTGTCGGTAAATTTTAATAAGAAGTGCATTGTTTTGACGTGGTCAATTGTTTGACGCTGTGCAATCATTATGACAGAGTATTTAAGATAGTAAAAATAAAATTTTTTTACTAAACAAAAAAGATGATTCTGTTTATTTACAAGAACTTCTTTATGATAACAGATAATAGAGTAAACTTGAAAGTAATTAGGTCGAAACCTATGATGATGCGGCCAATAATTCCAGGTTAGGCTGTTAGACTTGGATTTAGATCCCCTACCTTATGGAAGGGTACCTTACCCAAAAAGAGGACAATGATTAAAATAAAGGCTTCAAATTTGTGCGCAAAATGGACTCACGCACTCATCTTATACCATATATTTTTTTTCATCTATGGTTCAAAATGGCCTAGATTTGGGGGTGGGTAAGTAGAAAGAATGAAGGCAATTTTATTAAGGCTCGTAGCAGGAGTGCAAAAGCTTCATGGTCTTCCGATCCTCCAGTGGAAGTGCTCCGTAGAAGCTTTGGGAGTCCGAGAAACTATTTTTTTGGCAAAGAGATATATGGGTGACGTCAGGTTATTGTTGAAACAGATGCGGCCTTAGTTGTATCGCGGATTGAAGGAGATCGAGATGCTTCTCAAGTTGGTCTATTTTTTGACGATATAAAATCTCTTTGACTGAAGTTGTCAATCTATCGTAAGAATAATTGTTTCTAAATCTGATGGTGTTTCTAGCTTTTCTAGCACACGAATTATTAATATAATGCTGACATTTTTTCTCAATGTTCAATATTCTCTTTATGAGAAAATATATACACCTCCTTCTCCAAAAGAACTTTCTAACTTTCATTATTTGTGTGTTTCAAAATAAATTCTTTCATTTTCATAAAAAGTATATTTTCAATAAAATATTAAAACTCCTACTCTGTCCCACTAAGGGAGTGTTTGCAACTGCTTCTGCTTAAAAAAAACATTTTTGGAGTGATTGGGAAAAAGTGATAAGTAGTAAAAGTTGATAGTGTTTGAGAAAAAAGTGATTTTGAAAAGTAAAAGTTGGTAGTGTTTGATAAAATAAGTGTTTTTTGTGTAATAGAAAAGGGAAAAACACTTTTCACACGCAAGCCGAGAAAAAGTAAAAATTGGCAGTGTTTGGTAAATAAGTGTTTTTTAAGCCAAAAGCTTAGAAGTGCTTTTTTTAAGCTATTGCAAATACTCCCTAAGACTATTGCATTTTTCTTTTTTTATTTGTCTCACTAAAATTGTTTCATATTAAATTTGATAAAATTTATATAATTTTAAATCATTTTTATTTATCGGTTAATAGCAAACACATAAATTCATTTTTTAATAATTATACCACCTCTTCATTTTTACTTTTAACTTTCTTTGAAAAAAATTTATAATTCACCATTGCTGAACTATGGATTGTGTCCTAATTTTATGCCTGTAATTTAATACAAATTTTTTATTGAGCTTTATATGAGTCCATGAAGTCATATATTATGTAGTTTTATCCCTCCACATCTCCCTACTCATCATTCTAAATTTGAACCCACAGACACCTAAGGTCCCTCTAATATCCTTTGAAAATGAGGATTATATATTACGAAGTATGGAATATATTATTAAGTACTCCGTAGATTGCAACTCAAACCCAAGCTAAAGTCCGGACCGTTACGTTCTTTAACCAAACTGTACTGGTAAAAGAAACGGTCCGTCCACTCTCCACTCCACAAATCACAATGCCTATCTCCTGTTTGCTAAAAGGTCACTAAGAAGACTGATAAAAGGTACCGTGCAAGCATGTACTATGTTGTGAATTGCTCAAAACTCTCAAGGTTGCATCCTTTCACCAACTGCACCTTTTTCACACCTTTGATACTGGAAACAGGTGAGCTTCTCTGTTTTGATCATTTCTCATTCTTTTGTTATTTTGATAGTTTCAGTCCAAGAAAGAGTGAAAGTTTTAAAAACCACATTTTTTATAGAATTGGGATCAATGTATAAATTCAACTCCCTCTATCTCTATATTTTTTCCGAAGTTTGATTGACATAAATGTTTAGAAAATAAGAAACTATGTTGTCATGATATATTTAGAAAGTCATACTACGTATAATATAAATCCATAATTTCTTTTTTTAAATTAATATTTTGAGAAAAACTTTAAAGGAATGAGTAAAATGGTTTCATTGCTACTACTACTTATTGATTTCGTAGGCTTTGAGTAATTGAGTAATTTGTGTAGTTAATGGATGAATATTACAAATGAGATTAACATTGGATGAATAAAATTGAACAAGTGAACTTAATAAACAATACTCTAAGCTTTTCATGGAGAATATAAAAAGGGTCTCGCTTATTAATTAAGGTATTCAAATATATATTTAGTTATATATATATGAGGGTTTTCATAAAATTAATACTGAAATAATACCTATGGACAAAAAATGAGTACACTTACTATGTGTATACTGTCATAGTGTAAGATTGAACAAAGTCATGGTCATTATAATTATTACCATTGTCACAGCATATTAAAAAGAATCATTTTTATTCATTATCTTATTTGTAGTCATATATTGGTTATTATTATATTTCTTCATACATAGTGATATTTGTAGTACTACTTGAGTCTTGACACCATTAATATTATAGTTTCGCTCTGCCCCAGCAGGGAATCCTATCAAAAGATTTTTACGTGCCTCATTTGTTTCAACCGTAAAAGAAGATTTTGCTAACAATCACAGCAGGGATTATAGCAGTTTGGCAACGGGTTTAGCCTCATTGGTTGAGGAATCTTCAGTTATGGGGAATAGAAATCCCAGTATATCTTTAGCTCAGAACCTGGCCAGCTTGGTTGAGGAGACCTCCACAGTTAAGGATACAAAACAAATGTCTAGGATGGAGTGGAAGAGGTTTCTGGAGCGGAAAATAAAGAAGAAGGTGAAGGAACTGTACGTGAATGGGAAGTATAAGGACCTAATGGTGAAACTTATTAGTAGTCCAGAGACATTACAGGATGCTTATGATTGTATAAGGGCGGACTGTAATGTTGATATAGCCTTGGGTGGAGTTGACTTGCCATTTGAATCCATGGCTGAAGAGTTATCTTGCGGGCATTTTGACATAAGTGCTAACACATATTCTATTGCAACTAGGGGCCCCAAGAAAGACATACTCGTACTCCCTAATGTGAAGCTCAAAGTTGTTCAAGAAGCTATTAGAATAGCACTGGAAGTTGTTTACAGACCAAACTTCTCCAAGATCTCGCACGGGTGTAGAAGTGGAAGAAGTCATGTGTCTGCTCTTAGATACATCTGCAAGGATATGAAGAATGCCAACTGGTGGTTCAGGTTACCCTTGAGCAAAAAGCTTGACGACCTTGTCCTCACCAAACTCTTTTCTATCATGGAAGACAAGATCGAGGACCTCATGCTATACGATGTGATTCGTACCATGTTTGACTGCCAGGTTCTGAATCTAGAATTTGGTGGGTTCCCTAAAGGGCACGGTCTCCCGCAAGAGGGAATCTTGTCTCCAATATTGATGAATATATATCTTGACCTCTTAGACCGAGAAATGTACAGAATGTCAATGAGGTATGAAGCCCTTGACGACAAATCCGGACTGAAGGCCAAAGGAGACGGCGCACAGTCTAAACTGCGCGACTGGTTTAAGAGGCAAATGAATGACAGTGACTCTACTGAGGGATATTCTGGTATAAGGGTACAGAGTTGTCGTTTCATGGATGAGATTCTTGTCGCGGTCTCCGGTAGCAAAGAAGTTGCAGCTTGTTTGAAGTCTGAGGTTCATGGTTTCTTGGAAAACTCTCTCCACGTGGAAGTTGATGACAATATAGATATTCTTCCATGTGATGGTCCCGCTGGGATTCGGTTCCTTGGCTGTTTGGTCAAAAGAAGCCCGATAGAGATTCCTGCGGTGAAAGCAGTTCACAAGTTGAAGGAAAAGGTAAAGCTATTTGCTTCTCAGAAACAAGAGGCATGGGGTGGGGGAACCGTTAGGATTGGCAAGAAATGTCTGGCCCACGCACTGAAGAAGGTTAAAGAATCTGAGATCAAACATTTAGTGGACAGTAATTCTCCTTTAAGTGAAATTTCCTGTTACCGTAAATCTGGAATGAAAACTGATCACTGGTTTAAAGTCTTACTGAAAGTCTGGATCCAAGATATGATGAATGCAGAAAGTGTGGACTTCATCTTATCCAAACACATGACAGAACCTTCCCTCCCTCAAGATCTAAGAGATTCCTACTATGAGTTCCAGAACTGCGTCGACAGATATGTTTCTTCAGAAACATCTGCTACTCTTGCTCTGCTCCCCAATACAGCTTCTCCATTTAAAACCCAAATTTTAGCCCCCATCAACGTCATTAGGAAACGTTTGTATAGATATGGGTTGACGAATGCTGACGGGTTTCCTCGTACATGCCATGTTCTCGTTTTTCTTGACCTTAATCACATTATTGATTGGTTTTCGGGTATAGCCGCACGACTACTCAGATGGTATAGCCAGTTTGACAACTTTAATGAAATGAAGGTTGTTGTTTGTGACCAACTAAGGATGTCTTGCGTGAGAACACTGGCAGCCAAGTACAGAATACATGAGAAGGTGATTGAGAAGAAGTTTGATTCAGAACTGAGCAGAATCACCCCAAGTGATGATGAGTTTGAGCTGACAAATGAAGCATTAGCGTCTCAGACTGCAGATAACGATGATTCCTTGATGTACTGGATGGCATACAGTGGGGCATGCTTAGTGTCTTTGGCGAGAACGGTTAGTGGGTCCCGGCCATGTGGCTGTTTTGTTATGGGATGTAAGGCTGCTGCTCCGTGTGTTTATTCTCTTCATGTGATGGAAAGACAGAAGTTTCCTGGTTGGAAGACGGGGTTTTCGAGCTGTATACATCCAAGTTTACATAGAAGGCGGTTTGGGCTGTGTGATCATCATCTGAGAGATCTCTTTCTAGGTCATATTTCACTTCAATCTATTGATTTTGGTTCTTGGAGGTGAAAATGTATGATAATCAACAAAGTGTATTCAACAGTTGTGTTTATTATATTTTTATTATCAAGTGCAAACTTAACCAAAGCCAACACTTCGAGCCCGTTTGGTAACGCTGAAATGGACTGGACAGGCTGATTTTGATGAAATATATGAAGTTCTGACTAAAGTGATTGGATTGGTTGGTTCTATTGAATTATGAAAATTTTGTATTTAAAATACTTATATATTTTATAAATAAAGTAAAGAAAAAATATATGAAAAAGTAGTTAAATTAATCATTTACCATAACTTCAATCAATTCATCTAGAAAAGTAACTTCAACCTTACGTAGTGCTGGACTCGGGCCGGGCGGCCCGGCCCGGAACCGGCCCGGCCCGGTTACTGTTTGGCCCGGCCCGGCCCGGGGCCCGGTGGGTCCCTCGGTTCGGTTCGGTCCGGCCCGGCTGCTGGGCGGTTCGGGCCCGGGCCCAGGTATTCGTGAACCGGCCCGGCCGGTTCGGGCCCGGTCCGGGCCGGATTTTAATTTTTTTTTTTTTTTTTTGAAATTTTTTTAAGTTTTAGGTTGGATTAGGTATTTTGGGCCATTTGAGGTGGTTTGGGATGGTTTGGGGTTGAGGGGGAGGGGTAGGGGATTAAATAGGATAACAAAAAAAAAAAAAATATTATTGGGCCGGTTCGGCCCGGCCCGGCCCGGCCCGGCCCGGCCCGGTTTGGCCCGGAACCGGAACCGGAACCGGCCACCGGCGGTTCGGGCTCGGGCCTCCCCTTTCCCGGCCCGAGGCCCGGCCGGGCCCAGGCCCGAACCGGGCCCGAACCGGCCCGAGTCCAGCCCTAACCTTACGTTTTCTATTATTACACAACTTAGCCCGCGAAATCAAAATTTGTTTGATGAAAAAGTTGACTGGTAAAAATGATAAAAACAGGCTTACCAACAAGCTCTTCATTTAAGTGATAGGTCATTTCGAGTTTCAATCGTGCGATATTTACAAGTCCACGGAATTTGACTTGATTGTTGTAAAGGAGACATGGAGACACCAAATGTAGAAGTGCGCAGATAAAGAATCTAATCTTGTTCATTCTGTGTAGATTTCTTGAACATTATGTGTAACATATTATTATGAATTTATATTCATCAATACTTGTGTAGTATATACTACATTTATCTCTTCATCAATACTTGTTACGGAGTAGTATATACTACATGTATCCCTTCCTATAATCGTGGTTTCACTTCATTTACGTCTCAAAATTTCTTGTGATCCGTTTTTTTTCATTAAACAAGTTTCAATTGTTCAGCTCTCAACTTCTTACAATCATGCCAAGTCAAAGGAGGAGAATAAAAAGGACAAACTACTCATATGGTTAAAATAAAATAAAATAAAGTAACTATTTTTCAATTTTTTAGAATCTCATTTAAGAACAAGATACAATACAACGATTTTTTTGAAAGGAGATATACTATTACGATTTAGAGACATAAACTTAACTATAATAAAAGGTGAAAAAGATGCAATTAGAAACCAAGATTAATCCAAACATATATTATATCACTACCATAACTAGGGTGGACAATATCCCGATCCCAGGACCGGTTGAACTGCTATCGGCCAATTCTCTGGACTGGACAGACCGAATGGACCGGACTGGTGTGGGTGATTCAAGTTGAGGACTGGCATCGGGGGTCGAGGTGTAGTTCACGTGGACCAAGCTCATAATCTTGATTTTATGAATGAGATCAGTCCGGTCTTAGAAAGTCCCCAACGGCTAATAGCACCCCCCCCCCCCCCCCCTCCCTATTGGATGAGCTGCACTTTCAATTAGGCTTGGACACGGTTCGGGCCACCCGGTTCCGGGTCTAAGCCCGGTTTGGGGTGGGTAATCGGGTCAGGTACGGGCTTAGGTAAATGGGAACCGGCCCAACCGGTTCCGGGCCCAATTCGGGCCACCCGGATTTTTTTTTTGTTTTTTGTTGGTTTGGGGCTTTGGGCTGGGTTTAAATGGGCTGGAATGGGTCTATCCTCTATCACATGGGTTTGTGGGATGGGGGGATGGGGGGTAGGAGACAAAAATAATCAAGAAAACAAAAAAAATATAACCCGGCCCGGACCGGCACCGGTCTACTTCCGGGCCGGTCCCGAGCCTAACAGATTTTTTGGCCCGGCCGGGCCTAGGCCCGACCCGGGCCCGGGCCCGGAACCGGTTGAGTCCATGACTACTTTCAATCTTCAGTTCTCTCATCTTCATCAATCTATAAGTTCTCTATTATATTCTCTATATCTCTAATATTCGACCATTATATAATTATGTTGGACACATTCTTAAATCTATATTTAATATTCTTCATTATTCATAGGGCTCGTTTGTTAGATTACACGTTAATTTTTTGCGCGCAAAGTGATTGCATGCAAATTATAGGAAAGCGATCATATTGCATGCAAAAAGGAATACATTGTGCTAGATGTGTAATTTATTTTTAAATTGCACGCAAAGTCGTTGCAGTGCTTCATAGAAGGCATGCAAAGTCTTTTACCACTCTCCTCCAACGTAAAATACTTTACATGGTACAATGCGAAATGTTTTAAAAAAGAACCCTGCAATTTGCATTAAATAATCAAACCAAACAGTGTAAATATTTTACGTCCTTACACTTCGCATGCAAAGTAATTATTTTACATCCTACCAAACACCCGTATAGAATTATCTTTCACTAATTGTGCTGTAATTTAAACCCACTACTCTGTCATTAAAAACGCTTCAAATAACCTTTTGGCCTTTTCGGTGCCTAATGTTTTGATTGACGAATGATTTTGTCTTGAAAAGCCAAAAAGCACAATTATGATATGCTATGTAAACAATTCCCTACGAAACACTCAACACTCAACTACTCAAGATTCAAGAATCATCACACCAAGTCACCAATAATGAATAAGTGTTCGTATTTTTTTTAAAAACAATTCAAATGTAATGGACCGTTTTCAAATTCAATAAAGCTTTATGCCTAACATTGTAATATTGTACTCCCTCCGTTCCAAAAAATACTCCCTACTTTCCTTTTTGGACCGTTCCCAAAAATACTTCTCACTTTCTCTTTTTGGACAATTTGTGTAACTCACATTCATTTTACATTTTTCTTACACAACCACAGCCACACACTTCCACTTTATTCCACTTTCTTAATAGGCGTGCCAAGTCAAACCGGGAAGGAGTTTTATGAAATACTAATTAAATGTTTACTTATATTTGTAACATTTTGAAAATTGAAATAATGTCTAAATCTATTTACTTCATTGCTGCAATTCTATTTAAACAATTATAATAAATATCTCATGACATTATAAATTTTAATCCATACATGTTTAAACTTACAGTAAACAAGTTATTTTTTGGAAAGAAAAATAAAACGGACCAAAATCAGAACCTAAAATAGAGGTTTAGACTTCAGAGGTTCCGATCCCGAGCCTCATAATATTTTCCGTAGGGCTGACCGATCCGGGTCCAAAACAGGCTCGTGTCCAGCCCTACAAAGAACGACATCCTTACTTAGGGTTGAGCAAATCATAGACAATTAGACAGAAATCGTCATGGGGTCATGGGGATAATAGACATACTTTTAGACAAAGGAGAATATAATACACCAATTAAACAACCACCAATCAAGTTAGTTCCTCATTTCACAAGGAAATTATCCAAATTGCCAGTTCACAATAGTCTCCTCCGGAATTTTTTTAGCACACCCATAAAGGTCACAATACCACATAACCAACCATGAACCCACACTTCTCATGCCACAACCCCTCTTTGATTTCAACCGCTCTGAATACCTCCAAGACACCATGAACAGAAATTCCTGTCTCTTTACCCTGAAACCATCCTCTTAACCTATCCCATCCCCAAATATGATGGTTTAGGAGGAGAATAAACCATTGAATTGAAACATCAAGTCTTCACACTTCACCGCAATTGAAACATCGAATTTGCAACATCCCATGCAAATCCTCCAAGTCATGATAATCTACCATCATCGTGCTCCAATATTGAAATCACCAAAAACCTACCCTTGCCGAAAAGCACTTCCGAAAATCCTACTCAAGAAACAGAGGAAAACAACCACCATTGCAGTATCAATTTATTCTTTACACTCTCCTTAACCTTGTGTCATATTATTATTATTTTGCTGCATCTCTACCTTCATTGAAAATTATAAATAAAACCATTGTCTACATTACAATGTGGATCAAGGAGTAAAAATGACACTCACTAGACATTTCAAGGTGTAGAAGTGATATCCCCAAGCCTAACACAAAACGTTGGATCATAGTCTATAAACAAGGTTGATATATGCACAAATGTTGATTTAGACGCCAAAAAACATTTAACAGTATAATGCTTCTTAGGCAAGCATATGAACAACTATACACATTGCCATTGTCTCTTCAACTATGTACGGAAGCTTGCTTGAGTAACCCCTACAATTGCAAATGATTTTATGACATTAACTGCAATTATTGTTAATAGGCTTAAATATGTTTTTGTCCCTAGAAATGTAACATTTTTATGTTTTAATTCCCTTGAAACACCATTTAACTGCAATTTTTAGGTTTTGTTACTCAACCATACAATTTACATCACTTTGTTTTTAGCCCCTCTCCATCAACAACCATTTAAAACACGAGGCATGCAGAAAGTCCCAATTGTTTTTTAAATGCTTAATATTTTACGACCAAAGCCAGATCGAGAGTAGGTGTTGTGAGTACCCTTTCACCCTAATTCCCATTATAGTCACTCTACGAGTTAAAGAAAGATGGAATGATATGGACATAAAATATTAAGCATCATTGAAAATTGGCTGAGGAAAGGCTTGACGAAGTTTCTCTTAATCACTTCAGTTATTTTTAAAAACGAATGTTGATGAATAGGGATTAAAAAAGAAAGTAACGTAAATTACAAGGATAGATAACCAAAAAATTACGTGGGCTTAAAACATAAAGTGCCCTATATGTAGGGAAGCAACTATGAGTCATTGTCAGAGTCACTGTCACCGTCACCACCACCACTAAATGCAAAGTCGGTCATGGCTGAGATGTGTACCTCATAATGAAGTTTTGAGTGTCGTAATTTAAATTTCTCTCAGAATAAAATAGTAGTGTCCCTTGTCCAACTAGCTGGTACTGGCAGCAGTGTTACGCCCGAACTGAATGACAATGGGCTTGCCTTTAAACACGTACCCATTCACCAGGTTCTGCAGTTATTATTATTCTCTATAAGCATTAGGAAAAGTTCAACAAACACTACAATTAGTGCTTAATTAATTGACAACAAAAGTTAAGAGAACCGTTGAAGATGTGCAAGAATCTTATTGACAGAAAATTCCAGAACCATCAAAACACAAATATACCGACATTCTTTTAGGAATATCATAGATTTTTGCTAATCATCAGCTGTATAATTTGCTCACAATTTTGCATGTTCTGCTCATTAAAAATGCCATCGCTGTTGAAAGTACTTCATACACTGCATGTAATGACGAAAACTAGCATCCCATGTGAAATCAGTAACTAAGGGTGTGTTTGGATGGAGGGTATAGGAGGGCTAAGCCTATATCTTGGTAGTTCTGTTTGATATTTTTACAAAAATTGAACGGATAAGCATCAAATTATGTTTAGTATAAACAAAAAATTACCGACCAGATGAATTATGACTTTTTGCATGTCCTCAGAAACTTAAAGTTGCTGTGAATTCTCCGAATTTGTGTCCGACCTTGATCCATTATACGGAGTATAAATAAGCAGATGCTCTTTCCCATTACGGATTGCAATAGTATGACCAATCATTTGTGGAAAAAATCCAAAAAACAATGTCTGGTAAACGGGATAACTGAGTCCTCCTACCCAAGACCATCATAAACCATACATCCAAACACACCCCTTTACCATTTCCTTCTCAACCAAGTACAAGGAATCTAAATTCTAAAGTAGCATTGTAGCATTGTATTAAACTACTAATAGCTAATTAGCTAAGGATATATACAATGTGACCCTGACTATACATCACATATCATTGGTTTGTTTGAAATGTTGCACAACACCAAGTAGGAAAAAGAATACAAAGACCATCAAAGTTCACAACAAAGTTTACAGCTCAAAATTCAGAAACGTAAAATAACAATAAAAAGACCATCAAAGAACCATAGCTTAATACATGTAGGAAAAAAGACTCGATTAAATTCAGAAGACATACCAATGCATTTTGAGCTAGTTCAACTGTTGGGAATGTAATAAAAGCTTGACCACGCATTCTTCCTTCCTAAGTAAGCATTCAAAAAGTTGTAAGCATTGTTATCAAGTTTTGTGCAGTGCAATATGTTAGTTTTTATCTACTTCGGTAAAATATAACAATTAAGAAATTAATATATATTTCCTCTGTTCCTTTTTAGTTGCAACACTCCCATTTTCAAATTTGCCAATGGACAACTTTGATCGTCAATATATTGAATTCTCTATTAGTAAAAAGTTTAAAAATTCAGATTTTGAAAATTTGTAATGAGACAAGTTTAACAATATTTTTCAAAAAAAAAAAAACACATACATTGCTACATAAATCTAATCAAATTAGAGCATGAGAATAGTCTAAAATTTAAAATGTTGCAATTATTTAATAATGGAGGTAGTACTATACTACTATGTAAGACATTAGAGTATTAGGCTATGTTGGATGACCACTTCAGCTCAAAATGAGCTGAAACTTGATCAATCTTAACAATTAATTGGCATTTAGCCTTGTTTGGATGAAGGGTTGATCTTGACCTGACCTAAAACTAATCAGCTGATTTGAAACATTACAAATTGTAGCATTTCAGGTTAGCCCGTTAACTCATCGCAAGCTTATGTTGACTTTAATCTCCCAATATTCAAATTTTATCTTGTTTATATTAAAACATTCATTATTAAGGTAACTTTACATTTTTCTGTTGTTATTTCAGTTGTGTGTCAAACAAATCTATTTCATTCAGATAGCATTTCAGTTTCAACAACTTCTATCTAGCCCCATACAATAGTCTCATAATCAGACAATAGATTCCAACTTCATCTCGTTTTTTCAAACATAGCCTTCGACTACTCTTGCTATCAAGTTGACATTCTGGAATGAAACCCCGAATCTTAAGATATTAAAAGAGTTAATAAACTTAGTCAATCACATGATTTGCCTCTTGTTTTCTCTATATGTAGCACTCAGCATATCACCAGCTCTTTTTTCTTATTAACTTCCCTAAACTGTTTCATTTTTAGTTGTCATAATATGAATGTATATCATATTCCATGCATTTTATTATAACTTTGAAGTTCATGTTCAATAACCTTTTATATTTCATATAAAGCTTATTCCCATTTTCTAGATGCAAAAAGTCTATACATAGCTTCTTCACAGCTTCACACATGTCTTTGTCCAATACTCCAATGAGCTTAATGCTATTGCCTATCAGGGTGGTTCACAACTTCACACCATTATTTATTATCTCATTTGGTGATAATATATTTCAGTCCACCAAAGCATTGGAAATTCGTTGAAGAAAATAAAAAGATAGAGAACAACCATGGAGCGGTCACAATCTTTATATAGGCGCAACTCGCAATTCAGATCTAGACTGAGACACTAAAGATATTTTATACTCCCTTTGTTCTCTAATACTTGTCCCTCTTTCCATTTTGGGTTGTTTTCTAATATTTGTCTCTCTTTCCATTTTTGGAAAGTTTTTTCAATAAATATATCCATTTACCCTCATTCTCTTTCCTACTTTTCATTCTCTTCCCTACTTTTTCATTTAAATACAACCCACTACACCTTTTAAATTACGCTTATTATTTTCCTCTTAAAACTTGTGTCAAACCCTATAAGGACAACTAATGGAGAACGGAGGGAGTATTATTCTATACATCGCATACAATACTTCACTTAGAAGTTGCATTTATTCAAAGTAAGATAAAGGTAGGGTTTTAACAATGGAATGATACTTATGTCAGTTTTGATGAGAAATAGTATTGTTGTGAATTATAAATTACAACTCTATGAAGAAAACATGAAGTCTTCCTATTTAATTAATTAGTTTATTTATTTGAGTGACTAAACATACATTTATTTAACAAATTCATGTTGTCAATGTTTCTTTTTAATTCAAGTATCATTTGTTCAATCACCTAAATTGGGATTTAATGACTAATCCTGAAAATATTCACCATAATGACCACTAATATTAATTACTAATCAATTAATTGAAAAGCCGCATGTGTAGCAGCGTAGCCGATGGACAAGATAATTTAATCCCTAAACCAACACATAAGAAGATATTAAAATCTAGAGGAAATGAGGCATCAACCATTAAGTAATGGTTTAAAAAATCAAGAGCCTTCTCTTTTTGGGACCAAACGAAGTTATGACAAAAGAAGGTTCAAGGCATCATAATAATATTCGGGTCATAGCTCAAGTGCATCAGTCTAGACTTCCAACATACATCCCCAGCTAAAAAGCCTATGGGTCAGGCCCATCAAGCTTTCCGTACAAGTCCTATTACACACTTATCATTGTTGTCTTGCTTTTTTTTACTCGAAGAATACTCTATACTTATTCAATGCTTCAATCTCATGTATTCAGAGACATTAATCTCAACAACTTGGTAAACCACTTAACCACCTACACTGCTACACTACAAGGTTTTGAATATCAATAGCCCTTTTGCTGCTACTGAATGTGATACAACTAAAAAATAGGCATACAAAAATGACTGACTTCCCATTATAAAGACAATTCCTTGAGTGAAAAAAAAAATCTCACCTGCATTAACTTCACAGTCAGACTGGATCTAGCAGCATCAGTACTTTCAAAGAAGGATCCTGTGGATTGTTTAACACGTGATGGACTGGAACAAAATGTGAAAAGGTATCTAGAGCATATCATGTTATGTGAAAAAAATCATGAGACTAGATGCTTTCTACTGACCAAAAATGAAGTAGAAGTCATCAGTAATCACATCCCTTGACAAGTTCTTGATGTACAACACCCTAGATGGATCCCCAACAGAATAATTCTGTGCAACACATGTAGTAGCAGTGTAGCACACCATTTAGGCTAACATTACCAATAATCCGGTTGTTGAACTATTTAGCTTTCCACATCTACCATTACTTATCTGGTACGGAAAATGATGTGCATGACATTTTATGAGTTTAACATGCACAGCAACAAAATCAGCTACCTTGAACACAGGAAGTGACAAAATTTCTTCAGGGACCAATTTCCCACTCTTCAATTCTTCAATAGTCAGAACAGGCTTATTATCTGAATTCTCCTCATCTTCTCCATGTACTTCTCTTGTACAATCATCATTCATCCGATCGGAATGAACTTGTTTAGGTGCTATTTTGATCTGCAAGCACATAAAAACTAATTACCATCATTTCTGAGTCAAGGGAAAGAAAATGGAGTACATAATGTATTTTAGAATCATCACAATAACCTGCAATACAGAGTTCTTCTTTTTTATCATTGGCATTTCTTTAGGGAGCAAAACACCAGGTTTCAATCCAACAGCCTCATGAGCCACATCCTTGTTCACCGCAGGACCAACAATAGCTTCTCGCTTCATCCGCTTTCTTTTAGGGCCACCGACACATGGAGGAGTTTCCTGATATATGAATTTACAAAATCATGATAATTCGTCTTCTTCTATTTTATTTAAGAATATGCAAGTTCAGGATAAAAACAATCAAAGATGTGAAATGGGGAAATCATAGACAAACCAACTATACAGTGTACAGCCTCCAAATGATATCCAAGGTTTGAAATTGCGTATTGCGTCATTGAGGCGGTTTCATAGCATTGCCTATTGTGTAAGCCTCATTGCGCAATGAGGCTTACGCCTCAACTTTTAAACAAATTTATATATATAAAAAAAGTACAACCTATTTAATTAATCTAAAGTAAAAGGATGATTAAAGTTAACCAATGTCTTGATGAAAACCAACAAAATTGAGATCATAAACCATCCAAAAATATGTTTGAACATAATTCAAAACAAATATTTTCTAATAACGAAGCTAATAAAATACTATGTGTATAACTTACAAACAACATAATAAAATAAAAGAATATGCATCCACTATGTATATAGATATTTTCTGCAGACTGCAAGGTGTATATCTAACAAAAAAACTAATAAAATAATATAATATTCATCCACTAACTAACAAATAAGCTAATAAAGTAATATTAAACTATCTAATAAAATACTATCTAATATGTAGTACTTCGTATAATAATCATCCACTAACTAACAAAAAAGTTAATAAAATAATATAATATCAATCCACTATCTAAGAAAGAAGCTAATAAAGTAATATAAAATTCATCCACTGAAATATCTTATACGTGGAGTACTTATTATTCTGCCCAGTGCCCACTACCTATATCAATCATCAATTTAAAATAAATAAAATACGTAGACAACCAGACCATACGTGAAGAAAAGAAGGATGAAAGCACACAGACGATTGCAAAAGAGAAATGCAACAGAGAAGAAAGTAGGCGTCGTTTAGTCTGCAGAGGTTGCGACTCACAGACGATGATCAGTATTTTTAAAATAAATTTTTGTTTGGGGGATTTGGGCTGCAGAGTCGGCCTGTTATTTGTGGTGCGCCTCAACATCCGCTATACAGCGGACGCAATTATCGTACGCCTTAGCAAAAAAGGCGCAGACTTCTTAATTGCCTATTTGCGTTTAAGCCTTGCAACCTGAAATCCCCAAAAGTTCTAAAGCGCGACTTATTGCGTAAAGGCATTGCGCAATTTTAAGCATTGATGATATCTAAACTATGCCAATATTTATATCACTGGGCATACACCAACCTCTCACTCCCTCAGCACAAATCCATGCCCTCTTCCAAAAACCCTCTAGATTAATGTCAGGATAGTTATGGTACAAAGAGTAGAACACACACTCAAAAGAGATGAATGTAAGAGGATAAAGGCTCTCCTATGAGGGAGAATCTCCTTGATTCGCACCAATAATAATAAGAACTCATAAATATCGGCAATCTTGTTAAAAACCCAGGAAGAAATTAAGGTGAGTTAATATTTGTCACTGTGAATGGTGGTGGTTCTAATATGTTTTCTTTAGATTTTGGAGAATAAGTATCTCAACATTTTTTTTTCTTTTTTTAAGAAAAAGAATTTTATAAATAAAAGAGAAGTCAAAGCACAATCGCTAATGAGATTACATCCTAGGGGGATGAAACCAATAATGAGAGACAAGAGCAAGTGAAATAAAAATACTAATAAAAGAGAGCAAAAGATAAAAAGAACTAAAGAGAGATGAGACTTTATTCCAGGCTTCCAGCCATATGAAATCCTAAAGGTATGGAAAACTCCAGAGCAATCCATTTCCATATCAGAAAGCCCATGAGAACTCCCAAAAAAGCGTCAAGGGGAAGTACTAAGCCCGATTAGTTTGCTGCAGAGATTGCACATTCCTCACCGAAGAGCCGAAGAGGCGTTTGTCTTTTTGTCCCTCCTGAAGACAACAGAAGTGAAACCATCATCTTCCTCTTGTTTGGTTCAAGAAGTGCATCCTTCCTCGTAAATAGGAGATTCCTTATAGCTAGGGTGATCTTTTAGTGGCTTGTGCTTTAGAATTTATTGTGGTCCTGAGTCGCGTAAAAGCTCTTTAAAAATTTTACGTGTGAGACCTACAGTACCTGGAGTCACATTCTCTAAAATCGAGTAAAGGAATTTATTCGTAGTGGAATGGTCCAAGTATTTCTCATCTAGGTAATCTGCTGCAGCATCAAAGAGAAAATATAGACCTACCCTACCATTATCAAGAGCGTACAAAAATTCTTCTAAACTATCTTCTCCAACTTTTGAAGTGGCCCTTTTAACCGTTCCCCAACTAGGTATCTAAAGTCTAAACATATACTGTGGGTGTGTTTATGTGTATCGAAGTCAGTGTTGTACTGCAAAAAGTTCTACTTCATTTTCTGCAAATGGTATAAGTATCTGATACTCAGAAACTTATACTAACTCTTATTGTCATTTGAATTTTCCTGGTGAATAAAATTAGACAAAAATGATTCTATTCAAAGGAAAATGATTACTATGAAAGTATATATTTCAACAAAACGAAGTGTTTGGAATCAATATAAAAATGTAGAATTAAACTCCATGAAAATTCATTTAAACATTTTGATGTTAAAGTTTCATTGAATATCAAATTTAATATGTAAAAATGCCATCCAGACAAAAAGTTTATGAATTAGGGAAATAAAACCATGTCCAAGCATTGAAATCACTTTCCCTCCTACGAGAGATATTTATTTTCATGATAAGTATTTTCTATCATTGAGAAACCCTCCTACCACAGGAAAGAATTTCATCTTCTGTTTTCCAAAAAAGGCGCTCCCTAACTGATTTCAAATAGGGGCCCTTGTTGGAGGTTATCTTCACAAAATTTAAGGAGCCCTATATGACTCCCTTATGGAGTCATCTGGGCTAAGATGGCATGATTGGCATCACCACAACTACTCAATTTTTTAGTGGGGAGTCATAAGGGAGTCATATAGGGATCCATAAAAGCACTCTAGGTTATCTTATGTGTGCTCGCTGAGGGTTTCTGGGGACCAGTCTCAACATATAAACATTAAATACTGTCATACCAAAATATTACCCTACCTCATCAGAAGACTCCATTTCGGATTCACTGCTCAACAAATTGTCCGCTGTAGTTTCGTTATCTGTTGGTGGAGGAGGAGGTGGCGGAGGTTGAGGAGTGAAAGATGCTGGGATTGGCAGAGGTGGAGTGGGCAATGCAGTCCGGAATGGAGCAGGGATATTCATCTTGTTCATCAAGTGTAAGACCTGCAATTCATGTCTTAACTCTTAAGCACACAAAGGAATGTAAAATAAACTAGCCAAGTAGCTGATGGAATTGGTAAATATACTTATCATGTTAAGTACTGTAGAAAGTAAAAGTTATTTAGTACTACCTCCGCCCTACTAACATTGGGACATGAGAAGGTGGTGCGGTTATTAAGAAAAGTGGTTTATGTAATTCATATTTAATTGATAAAGTAAGAATGATTTGAAACCACATAAATTTGACCAAATTTGGTATAGGTCAATATTAGTGGGACGGACCGAAAAGGAAAGATGGGAGTATATATTAATTATTTACAGTGAGATAATGTATTTTACAAAGTCATATTAACTGTTAGAATACTCAGTCAAATAGGTTAGCTAGGAAATTAGTTAATCAATTTACTATTCTTTTGCAATTAGAACCTGTTTGGCGGCTGAAATTGATGAAATTCTGGCTAAAGCGGCTGAATCTGATAATATAAGGGGGGGAATATTAAATTATACTATCCTCCGTATCGCATTAGTTGCAACATTGAAATTTATATACTATTCATGTACTCTACAACCTCTACTTTAACTACATTTTATTTATTATTGTGTGTGAATTATTTTTTTTTTTTGAAAAATATTGTTGAATTCGCCTCATTACTAAGTTTCATAATCTGATTTTTAATTATTAATATAATAATGGTCAAAGTTGTGCATTGGAAAACGTGAAAAAGGGAATGTCGCAACTAAAAAAGAACGGAGAAAGTATGTTATTAATTATGTAAAGAAAAAAAAAATATAAGTTATTCAAAACTTACATATTTTAATTATTACACAATTTAACGCGTGGAATCAAAAGTTAAGTTTTTACTAAAAAGTTGGCTGGTATATGGCTGATAAACTAAAAAAATAAGGGTTACCAAATGGGCTCTTAGTTTCCTAGTCTTTAGTTCATATCCTGATCTACTTTATTTAAATGCCTTTGGCCTTATCAATTATCCCAATGAAGTCTATAACTTCACCTATGACTACAAGTACAGAACAAGCACACTAAAGGAGAAAATACCCTATAATTGATTAACTTCACAGGCCATGTCTAGTCGAGGCAAAATAGGAAACTAGTGTTACCTGTGTGTAAAACCGTGGGACAGCGATAAGAGCATTTACAATATTAGTCAAAATGTGTCCATCAGGTGGAGGGTATGCATATCTGTTCCCAAGCAGATTCGTCAGTGATAAGCAAACGTCATTGATGGCTAGAGAACTTATGAGAATTAGCAGCACACAAACATAATCTCCTCATTAGTTAGTATACAATTTATAGTTACTCATGCAATCATGTTGTTTATCTATGAATAGAAAACCTAGCAATGCTGGTAAACTCCCTTTGCATGCAGCAACTATGGCTGCAGCGGTACATGTTTGGATAGAAGAAAAAAAAAAGCAATCGACGTTGATGGAAGGATGCACTTTCATAGTCACAAAGTAAAGCAAGGAACTATAGTAGATGGAAATGAAGAATATGAACATTTAATGAAGTCCAATATGCGTGCTTACTCAAGATGAGGTGGAAACGGATAGTCCACTCCAAGTCTTTCAGCAATTGGTTCATTGCGTAGATAGGATAGTGAGCTTCCATCACGTTCTTTGTATGAAGCACTATCTTTGATCAAATTGATTGAATCCTTGCCGGTCCCACGAACACTCTGCTGGTGCTGTTTGTCTGCCTCAGTTCGTTTACTAGCTCTTTCAACAGATAATATCTTACCAAGAAACCGTAGGCTGATAAAAGTAAACGTACTCAGGGTAATGATAGCTAGAAACCGGACAACAAAAGAAAAATGAAATAAATAAATGAATTGAAAATAGTACCCATTCAACTGCCTCTGTGCTTGATATGCCAGGGCTTCATCCTTGAAATCTACAAAGGCACAATTTTTTACACTGGGGATGCCAAATGAGGCCAAGGTCAGTATCCCATATTTATTACTCACACATCTTATAACCCGCTGTAATTATTACTCAAACTGAAAGCCTATTAAAGATTCTGATTTTTGAGTGAGTAAACCAATTGTTTCCAGAAGTTGTAAGCGTACGAATAATAATTGACTAAATTTATGCATTCCGTTCAATTGGAAAGGAAAAATATAAGCAGAATCAGCACGTAAGTTCTAATGTCGAATGGAGTGCACCAACCTTCCATGAGTACAAGGCCGGACAGAAGATGCGCCGTAGTGAGTTAGAAGTCTAGAGAGAGTTTCGGGAGGGATAGCTTCCGGGAGATGCCGAATCAATATGGTCTCCGACGCTTCCTCTGTAGCCATTTTTTCGGAGAAACAAAGCCCGCCGCTGACGGTGGAGAAATAGCAATCACCGTCTGTATTTGGGCAGGCGGGAATTGGGACATATGGAGGATGCACAAGAGTTAAAGAGAATGCCTCGACCAAAACTTGTTCATTAAAAAAAAGGATTAATTGTTTAAATTTTCATAAATAAAAAAAAAATTGCGTTGGATTATATATGCATATGTTATATGTTTAACCATGTTATTAGATGACAGTGGAAATCTAATGAATAATTTAACAAACTCGGATTTACATATGTTAAAAATTTGGAATGAATTTTTCAGAGCACAAAGTTGGATAAAGTTGGGATCAATTCGTAATAATAAAAATATTTTTCATTAGATATATGAATATTTTGTTACGTATTTGTGTTTATAAAATATATTATTCCCTCTGTATTCTAAAGTTTGCTACATTTTCCTTTTTTGGTAGGTTTTTTCTTTTAAAAATACCCAAATACCCTTATTTTTTCTACTTTTTATCTTTTCTTTCCTACTTGTTCACCTTCTCTCCTACTTTTTTACACTATTCATTACCCCTACTATTTCCTCAAATATTGTGCCAAGGCCTAATATAGTGATCTTTACAATACAAAGGATTCATGCAATTGATGAACGCTAAAAATGTTACCGATCAATCTTTTGTAAACATCCAATAAGCAAAAACATTAATTGATAGTATAACTTTAAAAATCAAAATTTTCAAATTATAATTGCTAATTGATAACTATTAATTTACACATTATTTTTTAGAGAAAATGAGTATGATATCATTAAATATGGAAACGCAAGCTGCACCTTTTTATTATTTTATATTATTGTAGAAGACTATTGTTATTAATAATATAACTATTACTGTACTGCAAAACAATAACAATGATGTTTTTAATTAGACTAAAGTTTTATGATCGGGTCCGCTTAAGTTTGGTCTGATGACCTAAACTGATCTGGTCTGGTAAGTGTCGAATGTATGTATATTTTACTAACTTATTCTGATCTGATCAAGCCTATTGTATTTAAATTTGATCTGATTTGGTGTAGTTTCTTTTAATCTGGTGTGGTCTAACTTATAATTGAAAACATTTAAATCAAAATATTGTAAACGTTCTTATTTTTTTCTTTGTGTAAGTGAAGTCCCGCCAATTATGTATCACTATTATTATATTATAATAAAAATAATTATTACGTAGTATTATCTATCATCATCATCATTATAGATTATTTTGAATTGAAAATATTCCAATTACTCCAATATTCATACAACTCTTATTTTTTAATGGGTATGAAACATTAAATGACTGATTAGAGAGAAAAGCAAGGTATTACACCTTGTTACATGATAGATAGATAGATGGATGGATGGATGGATGGATGGATGGATGGATGGATGGATGGATGGATGGATGGATGGATGGATGGATGGATGGATGGATGGATGGATCGATGGATGGATGGATGGATAGATCGATGGATCGATGGATCGATGTATCGATGGATGGGTGGATGGATGGATGGATGGATGGATGGATGGATAGATAGATAGATATCGTCGGAGCGCGGGTCGCTGACTCGTTGTTGTCGCCTGTTGGGCGCTAGAATCTCGAGGGGTGGGATCGGTCCGGACTGGATCAGGTTTTTGCTAAACCCGAAAATTATCCGGAAGGTCTCGAGTTATGAAAATTATGGACCTATGAACAATTTTCTCAAGAGTTGATTCCGAAAATAATCTTACTATGTTTTATCTTTCTTTCATTCATAAATAACACGACACTGATTCTAGAGGGGGGTGAGTAAGCGAGGACTCGAAGTGACCGAAGTTAATCTAAAAAATCAACCAGGGCAACATTGTCATCCACCAGCAACAAAACCTCACCATCCCGATTGGACTATTTATCATCATCCAAAATATGTAATTTTATAGTGCAAAGAATGCAAAAAATTAATATATATTTTTTACATTGCAACACATATATTAACACCTTTTTTAAAGAATTTTAAATATATAGTAAAATTTTGAAATAATATTTTATACTAATTAACAATATTAAATTGTGATAAGGGAGAATTGAAAAGAAGAACATTTAAAAAAAGTATTATTTTTAAATTTCAAATTTGTAATATATTTTTGGTGTTTTGTGAAATTTATTTTATTAACTTAAAGTCAATAAGTGTACATTTGCTTTTTTATATGAATAAGAGATGTATTCTTACACCTTTTAAAAGTTCAGGGGTATATAACTATATATGCATTTCCAGATATACTTCAGAGATATGTTTTTCCGAAAAATATAGAACATGGTACGAAGTTTATTTACCAAAAACAATAAAATATTAAAATATTTTCATCAATAAAATAAAAAATGGTATATGAAATAGTAAAATAATCTTCTTCAACAAATAAATATATAGGGACTTTAAACGTGTGAATAAAACTCTCATCAACAGATGAACCGTACGTAGGTATGTCCTGACTGATCGTCTTCTTCGTCAAGAATAAATTTGCCGCCACCGTCTTTTGTTGCCCTCATCACAACACTCGTTGACCAAGAATCCCAGCGCTCGAGTCGTGCCACCTTCACCACATCAGTAGATCTTGCCTCTGAAACTTTGGCGGTCCTCGTTGCATGTATAACCGATTTTAAAAGGCTGTCTTCCCTTGCCGCAAGTCCAACGCCGCCATCGCTTGTCGATGGTCCACCATCGCCTTTGTTTGCCGTCTTTTAGCGCCACCACCGCTTGTCGTCCATCTAGCCTTGTCACATGATTCAAGAGTGACGAATCGACTAAATTGTTAATAATGTATCTATTACATGTGCTTATTATGGAAATGAGTTTTATGCTAAACCCAAATGAGTATGTCGCCTAAAAAGAATGAAGATATACGAATGAATATTCGAGCACATTAGAGACTACAAATGAGCTTTTGAATTTTTCGATGCTCGGTTTGTAAGTTATTATGCTCATTTTAAAATATCATATCAATAAATATTTTAAAAGTATAAGAAAGTGAATTATAAGACACGAGAGGAGAGATCACAATACTTAATTGCATGCTTTTTTTTAGAGATATTACCCAAAACAGGACTAAAAAGGTTTGGAAATTCTAAAATAGGACTGTCATGTTTTTATTCCCAAAATAAGACTAATTACTGTCATGTTTTGGCAGTACCAAACTTCTAACATGGCAGTATTTTCCAAACATGACAGTAATTACTCCTATTTTGGGAATAAAAAACTTGGCAGTCCTATTTTGGAATTTTCAAACTGTTTTAGTCCTATTTCGGGAACTTTCCCTTTTTTTTAATTCCGGAAGGCCAACCACCAAAATCAGTGGGGTAAATGCCGTGAGTCATTTACCAGATTGTATTATATAGGAAGATGGTACAGGATGAAGGGTGGATATACCAATCACTTCTGGAGGCATACCCCCAAGACAACACCTGAAATAAAATCAAACAGAAAAAAGCAATTCGAGGGGACCGAACGTCCGAACCTAACCCGAATTAATTAGAATCTAAAAGACGGAAAACCAAAAAAGCCCATCCAATACGCCCTCTTTACATGAATCGGTAGATAACCTAGGCTGCCAAAAATTTCCAAAAAATAACTTAATTGCATGCTTCTAATTCTCAATATAGGATGTTCGATGCTCGATGAAAATGTATTGTTACTCGTCTAGCAAAATTTACGATTTTCGTATTCATACATATTTCATACTCAATTGCAGAGTTTCAATGCTCAATAAAGGAGGTTTGATGAATATTACATAGCTTTCCCACAGAAAAGAGAGCACGAAGGCTAGAACTATTAGTAGTACCACCAATCAGGGAAAAATCCGAAAAAAAACTTGAGATGTGTGCAATTCTAACCTAAAAGTGTGACCAAAGAGAAGCTGAAAATATGAATAGATACAAACTCATGAAGTCATGATGTATGATATTCGTTACACATACCGCAATAAACTATGCAATTGTCTGGTAACAATTATTTATTACTCATACAAACAATGCATCACTTAATTAATATATTCACCCAGGGTTAAAGGTAACTTGGTAACTGGTAAGTATGAAATTGGCAGTGTACAAATTTACATTACTCGTACAGACTACAGAGTACAAACAATGCATCGCTTCATTAATATAATCACCGAGGATTAAAGGTCATGCAAATACAGTTAACAGGATACATGCAGCTTGCCTTGATACTTGATAGTTGCAATATGTAGTCCTGCATGGAGCATTTGGATAGATACAATCAAATTAATATAAAAACAATAGTAATTATACGGACTGCATGAGTATATAAGATCAGATATCACAGAAATTGTGATTCGGGAATGTTGAATGTTGTCACTTGGAAAGGCGCACTGACAAACAGCATATTAAATTAAATGTATTAGGGCTTGGTTTATATTCAAAATGGTCAATTCTGATTCTAGGGGTGGTCAAAGACTTTATTTAGGATGAAGGAAGTGGACGTTTGCAACTGAAAGAGAACGGAGGAAGTACTTTTGAAATATGCATTAATATGAAAATCGTAAACTCTGCATTAATATGAAATAGTTCAACGCACAATAGATTATTCTTGTTTGGTCACGCTTTTAGGTTAGAATTGCACACATCTCAAGTGTTTTTTCAGATTTTTCCCTGATTGGTGGTACTACTAATAGTTCTAGCCTTCTTGTTCTATTTTCTGTGGGAAAGCTATGTAATTTCCTTGAAGCTCCAGTCCTTATACCTTGCGTCTAAGAGAACCTTTTTACTATTTGCCTATGAAGATGAGAAAGCATAGTTGTGGCAGAAGTTAAACCTTTGGTCTGATAAAATTATAAAGTATAGTTAGCTATTACCTGAAGAATAAATTGCCAAGAAGTGTGTTATGGTCGATTTCCCACAAAGCAAAGAACATATTAACGCAAGAAAAGGCAAGCCCATTTATGTGGTTTGCCGACATAGGAGAAGTTCCGATTTTGTTAGGACACTAGGTTTGAAATTACAGAATGCACACAAAGATTTGGCAAACAACGCACTCTAAATATACTCTGACGGTCTAACCAGACTTGACCCAAATTACGTCCACAGGCCCA